ACACATTCTATCAATCTACTGTTCCTTAGCTGCCCTACACTTCCTAATTATTTCCCACTTTATAGCTTTATATCATTTTTGCCCTTCTTCGTCTGTCCTGTTTTTGTATTTCCGCCTTTCGTCTATTATTCCCACAATCTCATTTGTTATCCAGGGTTTCCTACTTTCGTTTTGTTTAAGACCTAGTATATCTATAGCTGCTGACTTTAGGCACGTTTTAATGCAGTTCCATTCTGTCTCTATGTCCCCGTTATTCGTTTCTCCCGCCGCCTTTAGTATTTCGTCTTTCCTTTTACCTAACCTATCACGCGTTTCGTTACGTTTTAGCTTTTCTAAGTCGAGACGTCTCCTACCTTCCCTCTTTTTTAGAATTTTCAATTTAAGATTGGTCTTCATAACTACTAAGTTATGATCGCTATCTATATCTGCTCCTGGATAACTCCTACAGTCCTTTTAAATCTTTGCCTAACAAGTATGTAATCTAACTGGTATCTCTCTAAATCACCTGGCATCTTCCACGTATAGCGGCTCCTACGGATGGTTGAATAAAGTATTCGCGACGGTTAAATTATGTTTATCGTAAAATTCTATCAGCCTATCTCCCCTATCATTTCTATTGCCTAATCCAAAAGTACCTGCTATTGCACCCACTTTACCTTCACCTATTACTGCGTTGAAATCTCCTAGAACTATTAAGTTTTCCTGTCCTTTCACTAAAATTAAGAATCTGTTTCTCTATCTTTGCGTTTTTTATTTGTGACATACTGTATGTTCACTAGATTTTTCGGTAAAATTTTTAGCAAAACAACTCAAAGTCAATTGATAAAATAGTTAAGTAGTATCATTGGTTTCCAATGCATATATGTCTTGACTTTATTGTATTGATTTATTAACTAAAATGGATTTACAAAATAAAATGGTTCCAGTTAAAATCATTAAAGACAATAAAACTGGAAATTTGTCTTTGGTTCATGTGGATAGACCCGTAAGAAAATTGGATATAACATACGTTCTACTAGTAACATACTTAAAACTTTTAGCAGATAAATTACAGTACATCATATATTAAAATGCCAAGGAAATGGAAATTTACTGTATAACTATTTTCTTTTGCCCATTACAGAGACTTCAAGCTAAAGTAATAAAACTAGTTGATGTATCTTATGGCGGTGAAAATGGCTTCAATCAAGCTATAGAGTTGGCAGCTGAGTCTTTGCAGAATGTAAAGTTTATTCAAGAAAAGAAACTTATCGGCAGGTACTTTGATGAAATCAGCCAGGACACGGGCAAATACTGTTTTGGAGTAGAGGATACTCTTAAAGGACTTGAGCTTGGCGCTGTAGAAACCCTCATCTGCTGGGAAAACCTTGACATACAACGATACGTACTGAAGAATCATACTGTGGGAACAGAAACTGTACTCCATTTAACCCCAGAACAAGAGAAAGATAAGTCTCATTTTACAGATAAAGAGGTAAGATGACAAAATATACTAGTATGATCTTTGAGTTGTTGAATTTATTAAAGTTAAAAGTGAAAATGATAATTGTGCATTAGTTGGGCTCCAGCCCAGTTTTAAAAAGAAGAAGTTTTCAATGATTGGCGTTTTTTCAAGATGCTAAAAAAACATAATTCAGGTTAGGGAAAGCCAAGCAAATTTCCTGAGAATTATTGTTTTTAGCTGATTTTCTTTTTTTAATCTAGTTCAATGCTTGGTCTATATTTCTCTTAGTTTTTAGTAAGTTAAAATTATGTATTTTTATATTACTTTAATTGTAATGCTAGGTCCATGCACATATTCAATTACCTCCAATGGAAACAAGCACTATGGTTTTCATTTTCTAAATAATGTTCTTGTTCTAACATATGTAGACTGTTGCATATCTAGTAAATGAATACACAAACGATTGTAATTAATTTCTTTCAGCTTTTTAGTTATGGGCCAATAATGAACTTTTTTTTTAATGTTAGTATTTTACCATTAAATGGTCAAAAAGAAGATTCAGTAGAGGCTATAGGTGAGGTGAAAAAATGGGTGATGGGTGGGGAGAGGTGTAAAAATCGCACACTAATTTTCATTGTTTAGATGTCTACACATAGCAGGAAAATGGCTATCGTGATAAGTGTAATTTATCATAAAAATAACTATCAATAAAAAATATTTGTAAAATTTTTAATGTCCCTCATCTCATTACTGTCACATATTACACTCAATTTTCTCAGTAAAAAAAAACTGCAAATAATGGCTTCCCCCACTTTATATTTTCTATTTATAGCTAGTAGAATGTGTTCTGATTTCTTAAAATTTGGCTGGAGTGTTCCACTTAAAAATCAGTATTGGCGTAAAAGTTGAACACCAATTGTAATAGGAAATAGGTATATAGTTTTAAAATGTTTGAAGCAACAATGGCTCCTATTGTAATTAAAGAGTATGTAATAAAACTTCATTTGTATTTAATAAGCTAATGTTCAGCTCTCCATCTTGTGTATTTCATTGGGGGAATATAATTTTATTTTATTTTTTGTATTTTAGACCGGCGTCGAATTAGAATTAGTTGAATGTCAACCACTATTGGAATGGCTCGCGAATAACTACAAGAATTTCGGTGCTACTTTAGAAATTATCACGGACAAATCGCAAGAAGGATCACAGTTTGTACGAGGGTTCGGTGGCATTGGAGGTCAGTATCAATGTGACATTTTTGTTAATGATTTCTATTTATTCTGCAACTAAAGTCAAATCTTTCTCGCTAGCATTTTTCTTTTCTTGTTGATTTAATGATTGTAGGTGGTATTTTTGTCTCGCTTTCTTTACTTTGGTTTCCTGTATGCATTAGCGATAATTTTTTATTGAGTTTTTAATGACTTATAATAGTAAAATGGCTTGAAATACACAAATAGACGTTACAATCCAAAATTCTGAAATAGAACTGGAAAGAATTGAAAAAATCATATAAATTCAATAGTAAATTTAAGCAGAATCAGAATTATTGTTTACCAATGACAAGAATGCTTGATGCAGTGCGAATTGTGTTTACTGTGCCTATTATCGAATCATAGGTTCCTAATCATCAACAACGATTGATGTAAAATTCTTAAATATAGAGTCGATTAATTTTTAATCAGTTACGTAATTCTATTCTTGACACCCACAAAAATGAATCTGAAAATATAAAAATTGCCTGATATAAAGATTTTAAAGACAGATATGTATGTAATAATTAAACAAAGAAAA